GTTCCCGGAAAGTTGCCCCCTCCTCGACTCGAGTTGTCCGCTCGGGTACACAGTCTAGAACACTGGCCCAGGTTTTGAATATAGAATAACGTGACTTCATGCCGGGTTCGTAGTAGGAACGATTATTTGCATCATGCTGCATTTGACTTAGGGGACTCAACACATGGGTTGAGTCCGTCTAGGGCTAGCAACCTGAAATGAAAGGACCCTCCTGATGCATCCTACTTGCTCTGTACATATATTTGTTTCGAACCTGCATGTTGACCGATTTTTGAATCTCGGGAATGTTGAAAAATCGAAAAAAGAAGAGAGAAATAACATAAAAACCACTCGTACTCGTTTGAGCTTCCTGTAAACATCGAGAAGCCTGCCCGAAAGAGAGTACAAGAAGAAATAACCCAAAGAGTGAAAAGGTTAAAACAACGGTTGAAAAACACGCAAGCAATGGCAGGTCAAAAGAGCGTTGCCTTCAGAGATCTATGCATGTTCCCCGATGTCCACTTTCCGCCTGGTTTCAAGGTTCCCAAATTTGAAAAGTACAATGGACATGGAGACTCCATAGCCCACCTGAAAAGGTATTGCAACCAATTGAGAGGTGTGGGAAGAAATGAAGAATTACTTATAGCTTATTTTGGGGAAAGCCTCTCGGGAGTAGCATCTGAATATTTTTTGGATCAAGATACATCTTGTTGGTACGTCTGGGATGACATGGCATGGGCCTTTGTCAAACAGTTTCAATACAACATCGACATCGCCCCAAACCGCATTTCCCTTTCTAACCTAAAAAAGAAACCAACTGAAAGTTTCAAGGAATATGCCATCAAATGGAGAGAGCAGGCAGCTAGAGCTAAGCCACCCATGGATGACCACGAGTTAATCATTGTCTTTCTACAGGCTCAAGAGCCAGATTATTTTCAATACATGACATCCGCAGTCTGTAAATCCTTCCCGGAAGCAATCAAAATGGGAGAAATGGTGGAGAACGGTCTTAAGACAGGCAGAATTATAAGTCAAACAGCTTTCAAAGCTGCAACTCAAGCTATCCAAATTGAATCTGGTAACACGAATGATGGGATGAAGAAATCATGGTGATATCAGGGTCGAGAAGAGGTCCTAGGAGAACATCCCGAAGGTATGTGCAGCCTCATCAAGTTTTCCATGACCCCCTTAAGCATTACTATCCACTTCCGAACCCCCCATACTTTGTTGATCCTTCCCAGTATGTTGCCCAGCCATTAAATCACCCTAGAAAGCGAGCACGAGTATCACAAAATCTCCACCCGCCTCCGCAAAATTTTCAAGTACCTTATAACCCACATCCAAGCCAGGGGTATAGAAAGAAACAAAAGCTGAAAGATAGTTTTACACCAATAGGAGAGTCCTATGCAAGCTTATTTGAGAAGTTAAAACAACATGGCATGATTGCACCCATTCCTCCAAATCAGGTGGACCGACGTGCGAGAAGCTTTGACTCATCTAAATGGTGTGAATACCACTCCAATGCTCTGAGGCACAATGTGGAAAATTGCCGGGATTTGAAAAGAGAAATAGAAAGGACGATCCGGGAAAATTTGATTCAAGACAGTGGAACCCAGAATATCACGCTGCATCCCTTACATGAGGAGGCACACTTGGTGGGGATGATGCCCGGTGACATAAGGTATGAGAATCCTCGTGGTAACTTGTTGATTGAAGTTGAAGATACTGACGCAGATAGTGGTCATGGCAATATGGATGCAAAACTTAGTGGCTAGGATGCCGTGCTTGGTAATAGGAAAGACGGTCCATTCCCAAGTCAGCCGGGGAGGAGCTTTGGTGGTCCATTTTGCTGTCATTTCTGTTGTCTGGGTTATTTGCAGGGTTGTCATCCGGATATTGTCTTGTGATCAAACCCTCTTATCCTTTCATTTTTGTCTAGCTTGTTTAGTCGTAGTGGTTCGTTTAAGTGTTGTCCATGGATGTTTCAGGTTCATTCTAGAGTTGTACTCCAGTTTGTTTGCTTGTTTTGTTATTCCAGTTATTTCATCGTTGTCTAAATGCAAAATTCCGGTCTTTTGTTACTTCCAATGATTGTTCTTCGTTTAGTTCTTTTCTATCCTTTTGTTTTGTCTTTTGTCTAATGCTGGTTCTAGTGCCATGACATGCACGCATAATTCTCAGTCGGATCTTTAAAAGCTATGTTAGTCGGGAAGCAAGGAAACCATTTTTGAAAACGATAAGGGCACTTGAGGGAATAAGAACAGATTGGGACATTTTGAGATTGTTTGACGCCCGAACCATGTGAAACTGAGGCAGATAGAACATAAAGAAACCCTAAAGGCAAGTTTGCCAAATTGACAAGGGGATGTTCGTGGTAATGAGAGTGAGGGTGTTGTCCAATGAGGCTTGGTAATTAACATATGTGAAAGGCGAATGTGTGGATATGGTTATCAAGTCTAGTACAATTAAGAGATGTTAAAATGTTTTCCTAGGTCTGTTTAATATTTTAGTTTGCACTTGGCATGTTTTGAAGATTGGAATGACGAAGACATTTTGTTCTGCTATCTAAACACCTTATCCTTCGTTACCCCTCTGAGCTTTGTTTATTTTCTTTCATACCCCTCTTTCGGAATCAGTGGCAAAGATCAGAAACACAAGCGTGAAAGATAAGCAAAGGAAAAGAAGAAAAAAAAGAATGAAAAGGGAGAGAAGAAAAATGAAATTGAAAAAAAGAAGAGAAAAGAAAAAAAAAGAGGAAAAAGAAGAAGAAAAACAACAAAACAACAAAAGAGGAAAAGGAAGAAAGAAAAGAAAAGAAAAGAGAAAGAGAAGAGAAAAATCACAACAATAGAGC